GATACATTGTACCTACTTCCACTCTCTGCTCAACAGGAACATTGCAAATAGAAAAATACTTTATGCATTTCTGAATCCATCCTCTCGGATTAGCCCCTTCAAAGAAAGGCAGTTCTATTTTAGGTCTATGCCACATAGTTCCTGTATTGCTAAATGAACCCCCTGACCCCTTTCTTTCAGCATCCAACCCCAGCATAATAGGCCTAGAGTCACTGTTTTCACCCATTTGATTATCAGGCTTAGAACTGTTCTTAATAGCTAAACAAGCATCAGGTTTACTCTTTAATATCCCAGGTTCATCCGTTTTATAAGTAAATCTAGACTTATCATTTACCACAGTCACCAAAACATGGTTTTTTCCCTATTTTTAGAATTATCAGGAGATTGTACCTGGTCTCCAGCAGAATGCTCTTGCTCCCCTGTTCTGTCTGTCAGAATCTTAAGCAGTTCCTCCACATAGCCTTGGTTAGTAGCCATTCTGGACTCTAAAGCAGTGATTCTATTCTCCTGACTTTCCCACCATTTAGGTGGATTACTTTCATCTTTGCCTTGTTTCACCAACGCAACTAGATCTTCAATCTGCTTTTGTATCACAGACAAATCAGTTTCTGTCATAGCTTGATTCTTCTTTTTCATGCCCACTAAACGTTGCCAGAATCTAGGCTCTGATACCAATTTGTTATAGATTGAAGAGAAATAGAGAAGAATTCGAGAGAAAGATGAGAGAATAGAGAGGATTCAGAGAGAAGAAAAGTTCATTCATTCATTTTTCTGCCCTCAAAATGTGATTACACAACAGTTTTATTTAGATACAGGTTGTACAGAGAATCTAACAATTGCCAGCTGGCATTCTCTGCTAACAAACTCCTAACAAACTGATATGTATCATGCTTTGGTTATTACAGGTCTTGGGCCATCCTGGTTGGGCCACTCCCTTTTGCTCTGGATCACTGTAGCTGACTTCAACCCATCAGGTAATCCTCTTTCTTCAATTCCCAATTCACTCTTCCATAATCCCTAACCCTCTTTCCTTTCAATTCCCAATTCACTCTCCATAATCCCTAACCCTCATTCTTCTCTTCCTAATTCCTCTTCACTCCTTCGTTCCTCCTCTTCTCCTCCGACTTCTCTCTCTTCTCCTCCGACTTCTCCTCCGACTCTGACATAAACTGCCGTCGAATCCGGAGGAATTAGAAGACCTACGCGGCGGAGACTCGACGGTGAAACCATTGATAGCATTCACATTCGAAGAACTAAAAATCATCACTGCGAATTTCAGGCAGGACCGGTTATTGGGTGGAGGCGGTTTCGGGAACGTATACAAAGGCTTCATTGCCGAGGATTTTAGGGATCAGATTCAGCCTCTTCCTGTTGCTGTGAAAGTTCATGATGGTAATAGCAGTTATCAAGGTCATCGTGAATGGCTGGTATTTTCCCTTTCCCTTTTTGAGTTGATTTTCCGGAAAAATCTTAGCTGGTGAGAAAATTGTGTTAGGCAGAGGTGATATTTCTAGGGCAGCTTTATCATCTGAATTTGGTGAAACTAATTGGATACTGCTGTGAGGATGATCATCGGGTGCTTATCTATAAGTATATAAAGGTTTCAAATCGTGATTAGGGTCGCGTTTCAGTCATGTCTCGTTTATCACGATTGTGGTCATAGCGATCGTTGTTACGACCCTAGCAAGTATATCGAGAAGTAGCGCTACCGTTATTTCATGGTCGCGGACCTCTATTTAAAACCCTGAAATATATGGCTAATGGGAGCGTCGAAAACCACCTCTTTTCTAGTAAGTTTCTTATATTTTCATGCTCAAATTCATTAGTTATAAATTTATTCCTACTACCACCTACTCTTTTCGAATTATTCTTTAGTAGGGCATAGTTAATCAATAATTTCATTATTGGATATTTGCATGAATATGTTATTTTTAAGGGTAAAGTATAGTAATGGTCATTGAATATTTATGAAGCTTGCATTTAGGTCCCCCAACTTTTAAAAATTGCAATGTATTTCCCCAACATTTAATCTGTTTGCAATATGGTCTCCGCACGTATGAAAATTAGGTTAAATTATATAAATGGTCACTGAATTTTTTGGGTGCTTGAATTTAGATCCCCCAACTTTTAAAACTTACAAAACAATCCTCAATTTCATTCTAAACCCTAAATTCCAAAATAATTCAATTACATTCTAAAACATAAATTCTAAAATACTTCAATTTCTTTTTTTTTATAAACGACGCCAATGTCACTAAATTATTAATTAATTTACTTTTTATATTTAAAAACATATGATAATTTTTTAATATTAATTTAAAGACATGAAAAGTTTTCAGTAGTAAGAATATATGATAATAATTCATTTATTTAAAAATAAATATACTTCTGATTATTTGTGTATGTTTTTATATCTAATCATACGTGTTAATATATTTTATATCTTTCATATAAATATTAAGACTACATAAATAGCATAGTCAAAAACTTATATATGAGTTATGTTAATTATAGTAATGATGTATAAATATATTTTATTTTTATGTCATTTCTATTATAATTAAAATATAAATATTACCATGATAATTAAATATTTATTTACTTATTACATCGAATATTTTTTGTAGAAAAATTATTTAATAAAATCATAAAAAACACAATAAAAAAATAAACACTGAAGTTGATTACTTCAAAAATAAAATAAAAAAATCAATAATTTAATATAATATGCCCTAAGTTGATGATAACAGTCAACTCAAAAGAGATGGGGTTTGTGTCATATTTTCGTAACGTACGTAAATTTTTTATTTCATGGTCACGTATTCTTTTAGTTCTAGCACGATCTATTTTTTAATTTTCTAATACACTTAACAAAATTATATTATAACTCGTTAAGTGATTTCATAGGTAAAAAATGTTATTTTCTTTAAAAGTTTTAAATTCAAACAATTGTGTTTGTAGGGTATTTCTATATTATTAATAAATTAAAAAAATTGAATAAATACTATCTTATAATCACATCGAACTATTAAAAAACTAAATTATAATTGAAATAAATAAAAATTATAAGGATGTCAATTGAGGATTTTGATTTTTAATTTTTTCAGTGAGAGATTGTGTTTTTTATTCAATTTCTTCCATTATCATTTTTTATATTTAAATTATTGAAGGTCACTAAATTTACATTTACGAGGAGGGAGTGTATTTTTTTTCTTCACAAAAGTAAAAAAATCAAAACGCTATCACGTTCTTAAAGATAATCTAATATATTCCTCCTTAAATTGAAATATTTTAGAATTTGCGTTTTAAAATGTAATTGAATTATTTTGGAATTTAGGGTTTAGATTGAAATTGAATTACTTTGGAATTTGGGGTTTAGAATGAAATTGAGGAATGTTTTGTAAGTTTTAAAAGTTAGGGGATCTAAATTCAAGTACCTGAAAAGTTCAGTGGCCATTTATATAATTTACCCTAATTTTCATAGGTGTGGGGATCATATTGCAAATGGATTAAATGTTGGGGGACTATATTGCAGGTTTTAAAAGTTGAGGGACCTAAATGCAAGCTTCAAAAATGTTCATTGACCATTACTATACTTTACCCTATTTTTAATTGTTATATTCAAAAGAGTTTGTTAAACATAATGACAATATTCACATCATCTCATAAGTTCTTGTTCGTTTCATAATCAATACGAGATTCATGGTTTCTCTTTACGATCATCATACATAGCAGGCATGCAGTTCTGCTTATTTCAAAGGTTAATTAATTCCAAAAAAAGAAGCAATTTTGACAGGAGTATTACTTCCTCTTCCATGGTCAACTAGAATGAAAATCGCAGTGGGTGCTGCTAAAGGACTCGCCTTCCTCCTTGAAGAGGACAAGCCCGTCATCTACCGTGATTTCAAGACCTCTAATATTCTACTCGACCTGGTTGGTTATTGCTGTTAAATAGATCATCATCTTGCTTACGTTTTCATGGATTCCTTTAATGGTTTTTGTTTCAACAAACTGGATTACAACGTCAAGCTCTCTGAATTTGGTCTAGCCCAAGACGGACCCGAGGGAGACAAATCTCACATTTCCACTCGCATAATGGGCACATATGGCTATGCAGCACCCGAGTACATCATGACCGGTATCTTCTTCTCACTGCTCACGCATTAGTAACTGGCCTTATCCGTCAACTTAACTATATACTTGCTTTTGTGCCGGACATTTGAGTCCTCGAAGCGATGTGTACAGCTTCGGGGTTGTCCTTCTCGAGCTTCTCACGGGAAGGAAACCGCTCGACAAATTGATTTCCTCATCAAAGCCTTTCACAAAGCTGCCATCCTAGCTTATCACTGCCTCAACCAGAACCCGTAAGCTTAGGTTAAGATATTAAAATGGTTATGAAAGGTGAAGTGTAGAATAACGAATTTACTCATGACATTAAATTAGTTAATCTAATGACTTAGGTACGTGTGATTCCTTAGGATCACTAATAATTTGTATTTTCTGTTGATTTTTGGTTGATAATTAAAATAAAAGGTTTCTAAACTTATATTTAGATCGACTTATATTATAAACCATTTCGACAGTTAATATGATATTCAGAACCCAATTGAATGTTAAAAGGATAAAAACTTAATTATTTTTTCTTAAAAAATAGAACTCATAAACCTATGTATTTATATCTATTTACAAACTTAATGATACCGGTGCATATTATATACACAAACTTTTATAAAAATCTTAATATAATGTTTTCCCCATCATATTTTGTAATTTCGTTACTAGTAAATAATAGATAAAAACTTAATAATAATATATAATAGTAACAAATGAAAAGAAATCAATAAAAAAATATAATGAATTAATTCTAGCAGTTCATATATATATAAAAAAGAAGATTAAAAGTTAAAATAGGGCGACAGAGGAAGAGAAGTGAGCGCGTGGGTGGTGTTGGTGAAAACATATAAGCGCCGTATTAGATACTTTCGAGTTGAAGTCATTGTTAAGTTCTACATTCGTTGGCAGATCTTTGAGAGGAAAGTAAATGGAAATGCAGGAAGGGAAAATGGAAAAAGATTTCCTGTTGCAATGGGGAAACAGAAAGAAGCTAAGATGTCCCAACAAACTCAAAAAACAGCACCACTTTGGCAACACCACCAGCAGCGGCCGAGGCGGCAGCACTTCCACGACGCCACAGTCTTTACCTTTGCCCAACAAGAAAATCTGCCCCTCGCCTGTTGCCAATCGTCACAAAATGTAAGACAAAGAAAAAGATAGCCAAATTCTTCTTCAATTTTTGTTTCTAATATTTTGTTTACTGATTACCCAGAACTAGTAAATGAGTCTACAAGTGTAATGAATAGATCTGCGATTTGGGTTTTGTTACAGAAATTCGGATTTGGGAACGAATAAACCAAGAGCGGCATTGACATCACCGGAGAAGGAAGATAGATACTATGCAACAAGGGGATCGGGTTCCTTGATGTTGGATGATAATCACAATAATAACACAAAGGCTTTGATGGATCAACAAGTTAAGGAAGATAAAAGGATTGTGTTGCCGAGATTGTTCACCACATTATCTAACAAAGAAAAAGAACAAGATTTCATGGCAATGAAGGGATGTAAGCTTCCTCAAAGGCCCAAGAAAAGGGCTAAGTTGATCCAAAGAAGCATTCTCGTGAGTTGAAATCTACCCTTTTAATCTTTTGCCGGGATTTTCATCTCTTCTGTTTTCTGATTTATGGGGTTTGATCTTGTGTAGTTGGTGAGCCCAGGGACATGGCTATCAGACCTGTGTCAGGAGAGGTATCAAGTGAGGGAGAAGAAAACTTCAAAGAAGGTATAAATCATTTGGTTTTGGCATTTTCACAAACATGTTTTGATCGAATTGTTTCTGGGTTTTGATTTATGGCGTCACCTTGTTTGATTTTCGGATAATGCAGAAACCGAGAGGATTGAAGGCCATGGGAAGTATGGAGAGTGATTCTGAGAGAGAGTGACAAATACAATTCACAAAGGAATGAATGAATCAAACTCTGTTGCTTTTGGTGGTCTGCCTGAGAATGGGGAGAGATGATTAATGATATTATAGCTTTTATTTCTAATCTTTTTTAGAAAATTATTTTTCTTATATGGTACCATTGTAGAAAATAGAAAGGGGGAAATTAGGGTTTGTTGCTGGTGTTTGCTTTTGTAGGTGGCAAAATCTGTGATCAGATTTGGATTAATTAATTAATTATGTTTCTGTTCGTATCAATGTCATCTCCAAAGACTTTAAGGAAAAATATATATTTTTCATGTAATTAAAATTTGACTCGAAAAAAAGTTAAACTTTTAACTCTAAATTGATTCAATTTATAATTTCATTCGAGTCGACTTAAATTTATTTTAATTCGTTACAAAATAGAATTTGGATAATATACGTATAAATGAATTAATTTTTAATTATAATATTTCAACTTTATATAATATATGTATATCACATGTAAAAAAATATTAATATACATATTATAATTATAGAAAATCATTTAAATTAAAATTATAAGAAACCATTTAAATTAGTTAAATAATATTCTAATATTTTAAATAATTACAACTAATTTTTAATAAAAACTAAAATAACTCGATTTGAAAAAAAAAATCAAATAAAATTTGAATTACCCAACTTAACTGACTTTTTTTAACTCGACTCGATCAATTTATCGAACATACTAGATTATAATCATACAAAAGAAGGCACATTAAATTAAAAAAAAAAAGTAGATTATAAATAAATTAAAAAGGAGTTCAAAACTGCAGCTTAAACTATCAAACCACCCTCTTCGCAGCCTCTATGCTTTTCTAATTTTCCTAATTAGTAATTTTTTTTCTATTTCGTTCATTTACATGAATGGGCCATTCACACATACTAACTACAAATGTACAATTAATCAATCTGTCATGACCCATTCTCCAGCAGCAACTCCTTCCTCATGTCCGGATAAAAAGCATTCTGGTTTGAGAACGAGTCAACATTAGGCTCAGTTGTCAACTCAAAACCCTAATCAACTGCTAAACTCGCTGGCCATCCTTGCAGCGGGGAGCCCTCATGGAACGTTTAACTGCTACATGAGACACTTCAACCAGTTTTCGACATCAAAAACACCTACAAGCCGTTCCCCAAGAGATCCGAAAATAAGATGCCCTGCAAAGTTTCACGGACAACACGAGCATCTAACAGTTTTACCAGAATGCCCTCGGCTCAAACAAAAAGTAGACAGGAGAAGCCACCGCCGATGACTACAAAGGTTCCAAGATAACTGATGCTTTTGTGAATACGGAAAGAACAAATGGTGCCTCCTCCCCGGGGTGTATGGTTGTAGGAACAATTGTGTAACCCTTTGGTTCAGGCTCTAAAACCATTTCACATGATATTTCTCTAGAATTAACATAATCCGTACCACCAACTGATTCGTGTAGGTAAATGTTGTACGCAGCACGACGACCCCGGGTTTTGAGTATCCTCATTCCAATATAGAACATCTGTGAGTCATGACTAGATTGATAATTCCTAAAACCAGCTGCAGTTCTTGAGAAGCTAACACCCTGAACAGTTAATGCCACTGAAGGTCAGAAATTTCTTGAAAGTAGAGAAAAGGTAATTAAACTCCCAATGAAGATCCGTTATATTGTTTACCTGAGTTAAGGTGATGAACACATGAATTGGATAAGAAGCATCTGAACCAGTTGCCCTCAATCGGAACTGGGGATTTTGATGCCATGAATTATAATCTTGACAGCCACCAGCACTGTAACCACGCCATTGTCCATGGACAGAATAACGCATCTCAGGAGGGTAGACCCGACATACGTATATTGATCTGAAGTGAATTTGGAAGTCTTGCCATGACATCCAGAATATACCATCTTTTGACTGTTCCACAGGAATCAAATAAGTCGTATAAAATTGAAACCCGGTTGAAAAAACAAGGTCCAGATAAATGCATTTATCCAATAATTCATGCAAAGCAAAAGGAACCAACCTGAGGAACATGCTTCAGCTTGTGCCTCATCCTATCCGTCCATTCCGAAGATGAATCGGACCAGGGACCATTCCATTCAACTTCATTAGCCCAAGGGTTTCGAATTTGAACAAGCTTGTGTCCATCCACCTCTCTTACCTGGAGTAAATTGATACAAATCATAACCCCTTTCGACAGTTCTTTAACAGTTACTTTGCTATGCAGAGCAAATTAAGAGGTAGCAATCCAGTGTACCTGCAGTAACGAGTATGCATGTCCTTGTACAATGCCGCTGGAAGAAACATGCACATCAGAGCCTGATGGACTTCCAGCACCAAGAAGAGATCCTTCTTGTTTAAACCGCAACAACTGAGACCATAGTCTACCACTGGCAAGATCTAACTGGGCCTGGGAACTTCTCATGTCAATCTCCTCACCAGCACCTCCAGTAAGATCAACAAGTGCATCCTGAACAAGCCCACCTTCTAGTGCCTCATAAGAACCATGCAATTTTGCATATGCCTTCTCCAATATAGAAACCCACAGTTCATTAGCCTTCTTGCTGGTAGCAAATGCTGGTTTGCCAGGCGATTCACATGGAATCCAGTCATCAACAACAACAGGAACCCACTCACCCTGTAGGGTATTCACAACCAGAGTATGCCCAAGGATCAATATGCTAATTATATGTTAACAAGCAATATAATAAACATCAGCAGCAACTAAATTAAAGAATCGGAAGCAGAAATAAAAATAGGGTACAAGATCTGGTTAAGAGGTTAATCTGGTCATATGACAGGTAAATATACCACAAAGAGATCGATATTTCTTTCTACATACAGAATGAAGATAAGCTGAACCCTTCATCATCTTAAAAATTTATTTTGTTACAATTGTATTTACAGGGATCAATACTACAAAGATCTACGGCTATCTTTTCTGTTTTACAATTGCATTAAGGTTTGGAGTTGTTCTTTTTGCTTATCCTATAAGTTTTGCTTTAAGGTCAAGTTTTACTAGTTCTCTACAGGGTTGTTAATAGTCTATTAATATACCAATAAACTTTAAGTATGAAGCTTAGTTTATCTTCTCTTTCTGCTTCCTTCTTCAAATTATTTCGATAAAATCCTATGGCCTTAAGCTGTACTGGTTCAAGGATATTATAAAACGTAATTAAAACCAGTTGTACCCAAGTGACATCCCAGTTCCTTCACCATCTAACAGCTTTGTCAATAAAGCTGAAGTTCTTTAATTATCTGAAAGACAAAATCACAATAGTTTTCCTCCAATTTTCAACTACTCGCGCATGGCTAGTGTGCACAAATTCAATAATTGAAATATAACCTGAGAGAATATTACCTGAATACAGAAGCGAACAGTGTAGATTCCTTCCTCATTGTACTCCGGACTAATTATTACTTCTGATATTCGTGAAACCTCCGTCAAAACAGCAACAGCACTCAAAAACCAACAATCACCCAATCGACCCTATTAAATTGGCAGGCAAAGACAAATTACAAAGAGCTAGACCATTAAATTAACTTTGTAACAGAATTCGGCAGAAAATAATGGGACAAAAGACAAATATATGGCAAATTAAGCTCATAAAAGGATAAACCTGGCAAACATCAGAAGGATTTGCAGCCCCAGAAAACAAGCAAGGACGAGAGTCTGAATGACCTTTAACAATTTCAGCAGGTCTCATCCATTCCAAAACAACCTAAGTCAGAAAGCAAAGATAAGGTACTAATAATGAAAATAAACATAAGAAACAGCAACAGATTAGTTAGGGAAATACCTGCAGCTTTGGAGGAGGATTCTTTGGATCCATAAAAAGAGACAAATCATTTGGAGGGAACTCATTGTCAGTAAAATGCATTTCACCTCGGGCAGAGAGGGCTTCTTTGACAGCCATCTCCACAGAGAGCATCCGCTGATTAATCTCGTCTTGTGTTTCAATCCTAGGTTTCCTATACCTTCGGGCAAAAGAATCCACATGAACAACAAAACCTTCACGTCCTGACCTCCTTTTCCTACCACTTGAATATTGACCATCCCAATCTACATCATCCCTATCATATAGGTCAACATCTGCAGGGTCACTGTCCCAGTCATCAACCTGAAGCAAAAAAAAAAAACAGATATAGGATTATAAGTATATATTTTTCTCAGATACAGAATTGTAAGACGCACACACACTCTGGAATCATTATAGAACTATACCCTTGGGGGCGAGTATGCCCAATGCCAATTGTCCTCGGGGAAATCAATCAAGTTAAATTCAGTAGAGCAAATAGAAGCATGAAGAGAAGCAACCTCATCTTCATTTAAGCATCTTCCCCATAAGAAAACATCCATTATATGCATCTTAGACTCTACTCCTTCACTATCTGATCTTCCAAATGCATCCATATCAATAGGAGGCCTAACACCAACCCAAACCTCGGTTCCTTGTTCCCAAATGCCATTACCCACAGACAATGGTAAACCAGTTTGATAGCCATCAAAACCACCATCCAAATAGCAAGTTGCCTCCCCTATATCGGCATCAATAGTCATTGTCACAATATGCCACCTGCAAAACAATCACCACCCTTGTAAACTTGAATGTCAAAGGGGAAATACTTTGGCAGTAGACGAAGTACAGGGAAACAGCAAAATATTTTCCCAGCTCCACACACCTCTTAGAGATAAATGACTTCATAACAGAAACTTAATAGAGCATATAAAATAAAAAATAAACTTATATAATTAAAGATCATAATGTATTGTGTAAGAAAATTTGTGGGGTGAAAGAAAATTTGGGGGGTGAAAAAACTAATTACAAAATATTTCTTTTAAAAGAAAACTGTCAAACCTTCCATCAGCAATACTTGTCGCACTGATGCTCCACTCCTTTGAAACAATTGTCTGTCTGTCACCCTTAGTAATCAATCTAAGTCCAACTTGTCCAGCCTCAATACCTTGTTCCGAACCCGCCACCAGAATTTCCCAGCAGACCTTTTTCTGAAATTCAGTCCCTAATAGACAAACTGGACCAGACTCTGGTTGGATCATCACAGCAATTGAAAAGCTGACCTTTTGACTTTGACACATGCTTGGATCAATTTGACCGCAGTGTCTGCCACTTGTTGTTGGCTCATCATCAAGGATACAAACAGCACCAGAAATTCCCGTCTGTCAAAAACATTTATATATTTACAAAATAAGAAATATTTATATCCAAAAGCAAGGAACTTAATGGTACAATTACTAACGATACACTACAAAAATCGGTATAATCCAAAGTGAGGACAAGCACAGTAGGCACCTTCTTGTAATCTTGTAATTATGTCTTCAAAAAATAAAATCATAAGTTACAGTAGGCACATACACACATGAACTATAGATCTTAAGACGGAAAGATGGAACCTAATTTACACAATAATATCATAAATCTAAAATATTCGGTAATATTAACCATCGGCACTTACTTCAAATGGTGTATGTTTTAGTACCTTTTCAACTATACTTTTTCAAGAAAAAGAAAGCAAAAAGAATTGAAGACAAAACAAACATGAGATATCAGACAGTTAGACTTCTTAGTATAGCAAGGTTAAATAGATTCACAATTTATAAATGATTGTTGATTTTCTATTTGATTTTATGAGTACAAATATTCCTCAATATAGTATGCATGGCATATAGGAATCATGCAAACAAAATTGAAAAGTGAAAAAAAAGGAACAATGGAGGGGAAAAATCAACAAGCTCAAAATTTACCTGATTACCTTCATCATGATTCACATGAGAAAGACGTAAGAAAATATTTCGAAGAGAAAATATTTAACACATCAACTTACTGTTTTTTTCATTTAAAGGTAGCAGACAAATACCAGAGCATAACAAACATAATTATATGCAATCACACGTGTTAAACTCCTATGCTTCAAAATAAACTAACTCATTTAAGAATTAAAATAGTTTTTTTTCTTTTGGGAATTAGCAGATATTAAGTATAAGTATTTGTCAACTAATGTTCACTACTAGGAAATTATTCATTGTGAACTATCAAGGAGCAAATCATGCTTACATGCAAAAGGGAAACAAGTTACATATATAAACTCAACCTGAACTGCTCTACGGGCTAACTGAGCTGTACGAATCCTATAAGCAATGCTTGAAACTCTCTCACGTGCAAAAGAATCCTCGAGAACAGAATCACCTCCAACCGCACGCACTGCAGCTGCCATGGCTGCTGCCTCCCGGTTGCCAGCATTAGGAATAGAAGAAATAAGGGAAGCTTCAATCTCCTTCCATTTACGTTCTTCCTTCTCCAAAAGGGCTTTCCTTCTCTCTTTACCTCTCCCCTCCTCTTCACGCCTCTGCATTAAGATTTCCTCTTCCATCTCTTTCTCTCTTATATAGCTATAAATCGTAACAAGAGAATTAAAAACACAGCAGAAATGTTGAATAATGGGTAGAGTAAAAATATCATCTGAAAAATGTCAAACTGTTGCTACCTCTCCTGGATGATTTCAAACTGTCTACGGTCTTCTGGCATCCACTTCTTGATTTTCTTGGCACTTAGATCTGAAAACCCTATACTGTCAAGGAAAAGGTTCAAGCGCACCTCATCCTGCCACATGGTTGTGAAACTATCATTAAAATTTTAAATTGAATATCATCAAACATGAAAAGCACATAAGGCAATGACAAACCTGTACTCGTTCTGCCTGAGCAGTTAAACCAAGCAAGAGTAGCAAATAACCTCCGAACTTATCCCACATGTACACCCATTCGGTATCAATAGCCTCTTCCAAAGCTAAAATTCGTGCATGAGCACACATTTCTCTTCTGTAATCCACATCATTGGTTGGTTCATGTCTAAACCCCCTATGATATCTCATTCTATGGAAGAAAGATCCAGTGACTAGTTCCTCATTTCTCAGGCGATCTCTTAATTTCATGACATCGTCTCTAGGAAGTACAAAATTCCCTCCCTTATCAAGTGTAGCTGCAGGGTCTCCTACTAAAAGAGCTGCTGAACTTGCAGACCTCTGTGGAGCGGAATAGGTTCCAGACAAAGCATTTCTTGTCTGCTTGCAAACAAAACAATAACTTAATAACAAGAAAAGAAAAATAACAAAAATCACAAAGAACATCTTCCATGGAAGACTAATCTGACATTAAAAGGAAATAGGCAATAAACAATGAGTGAATGAAACAGAATCAGTACTAAAGACCATTAAAAATGAATAACCCCTTAATGCAAAAAATCAAGAAAATAAATAATAAGGAAGTTCTATGCATCTACAGCCAATAAGAGCATGGTGCAAATAGAGATGAAGAAACAAGAAAATGAAACATTAACAATCATTTAGAAAATGGCTACGAATTCAAGGAAAATTATATTTAACTTCCTAGAACTGCAAAACATAAAATTTTACAAGATATAAAAAGGAAGGAAACATCTCTTCAAGACTTGAAACCTATTTGTAGAAACATGCTCACAAACCTTCGTGGCAGATCTAGCAATTGCTTGGACAACAATATCTTTGCTCAGAAAATGAACTGCATCTTCCACCATCTGGCAGTAATAACAAATGACAAAGTTAAAAGGCTGCATGCAAGTTGATTTAAAGAGAAAAATTGACATTTCTTTAGGGCAACAGACCAAAAAATGTAGCGCCAAGTTGCAGTGACAAGCACATTGACATATCAGACAGGACTCATACCTTAAGAGTTAAGCATGGACGAGAAACAGCAAAACCGAAGGCTACAACAAGGGTTACAGCAGATACAGCAGCACCAGCATATGGTGGATAGATTATCAAGCTAGCTACAACACCCCAACCTTCAGTTGCAAGTGCAATCCCGTACAGGACAAGAAATGCGGCACTGTACACAACAGATTGCCAAATTTTCATGTCAACGTATGACTAAACATTTAGATTCATCGTTAAATTTAGCAATTATAAAAATATATAATAAATAAACGGATATGACTGAAGATAAATTGGAAAGCCATCAGACAAAGAGAACAGTCTATCTTAACAAACCTGACATTCTTTCCACAGTCTGCATGAGCATCATAAACATATACGGGAAGCACTCGTGGAGAATAAACAACAATTGGAGGTGAAAGAAGAACCTAAAGAAAAGGAGTATTTTCATAAACAAAATGAAGTGGCAAGAGAATAACACAAAATTTTATCAAGATGAGTGAATATAACACACCGTTAGAGCTCTCCCAGCAAGTAGAAACAGAAATGTAAAATAACCAACAGATGCTCCAATAAAAGGTTTATCTGAAAAGTCAAGGTGAAATGGAATGATGCCAATAGTATAAGTTGTAAAGTTATGCATCAGAGCTGCAATTTTACAGATAAAGCACCAAAAAGTAAAATAGGCAGGACAGTGGTTATGTTCACCTTGAAACCACCCAACAAAAAATGCTGCTAAACCCAAAAGAAAAGCAAGGAGGCAAACCAAGAACATTTGGGTCCTGGTTAAATAGAAATTGTTTGATGCCCAGTGGTGGATAACAGCGATGGCAAGAACAATCAAGAGAAGTACTAGCAGAAATGCTGCCCCGATCTGTTTGGTGACTCAAGAAAGACAACAGATAAGATAGGGAAATAGCTATAAAAGAGTAGCCAAATCAATGATATCATCAAAATAAGCCTCACCGTCCATGGTTTAATTACAACAATAACAGAAGAAATTGCAGCAAGCAATAGGAGAAGACCAATAGTAACAAATACATTTACACCTCGAGAAAGTCTCCAACCATCATCTTTCCTGCATAGTAGCATGAATTGCATAGTGAAAAATAATGGTAAACAATAAGTTAAAAAAATCATGTAAAAAATTGGGGCTTAAGCTTTCAGGATTTGCTAAAGTCAGGAAGATTACAAACCATTTAAGTAATCCAGTGCATAGAGATAGCATTGCTGGAATGCACACCAATGGAAGAAAAGCAGCAAGAAAATCACCAACTGTAGGAACCTGGTCATCCCTAGACTTCACAATTTTCATATAGGAGGCACCACAAAATGCGACGAGTACAGCTAACAAAATAGCAGCAGCAGAAAGTAAAAGATTAAATGACAATCTCTAGGCAATGGATGAAATAGTTCTTAAATGGAACACACACAAAAACAGCTTCAATTGACAAGCCAAAAGTAAAAAGAATGAAAATAAGAAAATGTACCTGAGAATAAACTGACACATATAGCAGAAAAGAGCGAGAACCGGTAAGTTGCAAACCATGAAATGATTGGAAGCACACCAGTAACTGCTAAAGCAACTACAGATGCCATTGCCCAGCCAATGTAATCAGATGATGCATAAGGAGAAGTAAAGTTATTTGGTTCACCAGTCCATCCCTTGTATCTTAAATCCTCTAAAGGGGTAAAAGACACTATTGCACCCAGTGCCAATACAGAACCAGTAAATACTGTTATGCAAAGAGTAAGAACAACCACCTGACAAGGACAGCAATGAATGTTACAGCAGAAAAAAATGTGTAACTAGAAAACTGAAAGAGTAAGCAATCACTTTTCTTTTTTTAAAAGAAAACTGTAACTTAAACTTCTGCCTGTTTTCTCTCTCCCTTTTGAAGTCGTTGATGCAAGAGCATCATAAACTCTGCTATGTTTATTACTCTATTTTATTTTATGTTTATTTAATAAAAATAGAAAAACATATAACTAGAATGTAATAATAAAGTAATAAACCATAATATGGTGCTCTTGCTCAAACTCAAAACTATACCAAGTATATTACTATACATCCTTTTCTGACAGTAATTTAATTAAACGTTCAACAATTATATTTTTATTTAAGTGGTCATATAATTAACATGAAGTCACTTGATGACTTTGAATTGTAAGCGGGATTAAGCTTCTGTAACCCTAGTATTAACAGTCTTTACAATACATTAGGCAGCATTACTATAATCATATATTATTTGTTAGCCTGGATGCCCAAAAAATATAGTGTTCTTGTTCCAACTTCAATTTTGCATCGATTTTAGCCTTTATTATGGTGTCTAGCAACAGTTTTTGTTTCTTTCATTGTTTGTGTTTCTGCACTACTGCTATCCCATTAAACTTTATGGTTTTTTATATTTTCCTTAACAATAGCACCAAAATAATTACAAGCAGAAAACCTATAGGCTGATCATATGCCGAAAGCTACAAAACTTGAAAGAACAACAGAGCTATATCCATAAAATCAAAAACCATGAAGGCAAGGGAAAGATGACTGATGACTCTGAATTAAGGATAAGAAATAAATGTTGTCAGAAAGAACCAAAGAGAAGGGGCAGAACCAACCTCCTTTGTCCCAGAAAGTCGATGATTTCCAGCAAAACTTGTACACTGAACTTGTGGAACCCAAAATTGATAGCCATTGCGGATCCATATAGGAATTGCAACAGAGAGACAGGCTACCATGAGAGGCACTGTCAAGGACAATCCAAGAAGCACTGATGACTTGCTGCAGAAAGAAAACAGATATTAGTACCTGACAGGCAATTACCCAGACACCACAGCAATAATTCCAGCAATAGTATAAAATAAATTGTTAATAAGCAATAGTGAAAAAATATTTATAACAAAGAGGACATTCTTAACAACCATGTTTAAGAAGTAGAAAGTATCAACCGAAAGGAGCCCAAATAGTATGCATTCTTAGCTCCATGTCACAATGAACTAAAAGTACAAAACTGGGGGTTGCCAATAACAGAATGAACCAAGGCTATTCAAATACATGAAAAATAATGGTTTGAAGGAAATATAGACATCTGACAACTTAGTATTTCATTTTAACATACGAGCAAACACAAAAGAATTAAAAAAAATAGAAAAGATAAAAGGAAGCCCACATTTGGATGATCCTAAAGAAATAAAAAATTAAACAACCCAGCAGTTTTAAATTACTCATTGACACTATAGCAGCTCTTACGTAGACAAATGAATTGGAGATGGAAGAGGATAATGAAGCAGAGGAAACTAAAATCAATAATTTTTTTTATGAGTGAAAAAAGAATCATACATTACATAACAATTTTAGCACAGTACAACTGAATGCTTGGAACCACAACTGAATCTAAAAATCATGAATAAGACATCAAATTATTATCACTGCACACATTTTATGCCACAGAAATTGCCATTAACAGAAAAATGAAAACAGTTTAACCAAGGAAAATATGCAATGGCAAGAATTAATTAATGCATGCTTAAAATAGACCAAACCTCAGGAAAGAAAGCAGCAGTCCCACGGAAGTGCTGAGCAGCCAAGCAACAAAGCCATACTGAACAAAGTAAAGAAAAAGGGTGGAGATGGGAGCAAAGCAGACAAGAAAATTATTATAACTAAAAGAAAGAAAGGATTCATGTAATATAATGGAAGCAACACCGGTTAATACAAAAAATGGTAATCAAACATAGTATGTCATTACAAAATTAATGGCCACAAAACATTTAAGCCAAAGGAATCTATTATTAGTTCCTGCTAAGAAAGAGACTTATTTAAAGATGAGGGGAGAAGATTAAATTGAAGACAGCTGCAGCATAAAATTCATTTATTACTGGCACAACAAAAGCTCCACAACTTTCTGTTTCAAGATTTCGTTTATGCACACTCAAGAAAAGGAATGAAGGATGCACAAATAAAATATAAAAGTGCAGCTCTGTAACATGAGAATAATCCAAATATATGGTTATCCACCCGCACCGAAGTTCTGTGAAACCATCTGCTTTTGTTCACCTTAAGATGTGTAATCATGAACACATGTAACTATCCTTGAAAAAGATAAATAGACTGTCAATTATAAGCAATAGGAGATTTCAGGGGTTTGGGAGCTCATCTAAATGCTTAGACTCCATTAGAAAGCATGTTCAAATGAAACCATTGGATGTGGAAAGTAGGAGGCCTATTGGACCCTGTTTTCATATAAGCCTTTTTCTAGAAATGCCCATTACTGATATTGACAACTCAGGACAAGAAATGTACCAGAAAATCCACCTGGGGATTGTCACCTTCTGAAACTACTGAAATGTTCCTCCAATAACGCACAGGAGGAAACATACACTACTATATATTTTAGGAAAACACTAACGATATATTTGGAAAACACTGACGATATATTTGGAACACTAGTAGAAGCCAAAAGTTTGAACCCATGGAACCATTAAAGAAAAGAACATCTTAATATTAAACAAATAAGCCAATTGTTATGAAAATAACTACAATCTTAACCAAAATTTTGGAGCCAACTAATTGCAAAAGACCACATTATAAAGTTAGAAAAATCACAATAACTTCTCAAAGGAAACCTCCATGGAAAATAATAGAGAAACAAAATCAAGGAAAAACTCATATTGGCTATCAAATTCAACCTGAAACCAAATCACAAATTCATGTAGGAACAAACATCAGGTATAAACTGGAGAAAAGCAGTATACCCTGCGAGGTTTTGGTGTCAAGGGAGTTTCTTCTCCTTGAAGTGAACGAATAAAAGCCATGATTGAACAGACGACAGGAGATAAAAGCAGTACAGCAAAGCCAAATTCAAACTGCAATAGATACACACAATCTCCATATTAGCAAATATAAGGCAATGACAACTCAAACACAATGTCTATTTACAATTATTGAATTGCTAAAAATGTGTACATCAATCAGGGCACTACCAAGTGTCATCAAATAAAATAAGTAACATCCCAGAAAAAGAAAGGCTCACTTACTTGCTGATGTGTAGCATTTATAATTTTGATTGTCTTTGGACGAAAAACTGCCACAATGATTGTTTCTATGATAAAGACAAAACTAAATAGCACCCATGCTCGCTCCGGAGTACTTGCTATATGATGCAAAACAAGTCTGGAGAACTTCAGCCACTTTTCAAGCCCTTGAAGTCTCAATTCTTCTGAAAGGGAGATTTGATTGGGCATAGCATTATCAACACTATTGGAATCGACAATTGTGATATCAGTATTGTCTCGATGATCCCTATCTGCATCCAAGCTACTCCTCTGCAGTAATGCAAGTATAGTTGGATCCAAGCTCTTCTCTTTCAACATCATGGCAAAATTAGGATCCAATCCTTTATCTTGCAATAAACTAGTCAATTCTCGATTACCATGTCTTGCTCTCCTTTTCAACATCGATGTAATCCTAGGATCACTCAACCTTTCTTGAAATGCAAGAGCTAAATTCAAATCTAACATTTGTTGATTAACTGAAGTTGATGTACTAGATTCACAACCTTGGCTATCATGACCACTATTGGAGCAAACCACAAAAGAGCCATTGGGGTCAATATTTTTATCTAATGTTCCCATTTCATGTTCTTGGACTGAGCGATGAGAACTGCTATGCAATGCTAAACTTGGTCTTCCACTGTCTACACTCTTATCGCTATTTATCCCCTCCTGAAAGCTAGAAGTTGGATACATGACAAGACTATTCCAATTATCAGCATCAGCAGAGCAATGTACCATACTCTGGCTATTATCTTCAATAATATTAGTAAAATGGCCTGCTTCAGCACTACTACTGCGTTTCACACTTGAGCCACAACCATCAGATGAACCAGATGAACTATTTTGCTCCTTCCTACGGAAACCTTCCCTCAGACGAATCACTGTGCTCTGCAAGGCATCCCTTCGGGCAGCTAACGGGTTTGTAGCTGAAAAATGGCGAGAAACCGCAGCACCTAATAAGACAGAAGCTACAACTGCATAGCTAATACAATGCCCCAAGTACCTGAAGAAATTTTAAAAGGACCAAAAGAGAGAGAGATCAACTATCACAATGCAACAGTAACAAAACCAGCAATACTAGAATCATGGGAATCTAGAACAAACCAATAATGTACTCCAAAGCAAATGAGAAAAACCCGTGAAGTTCCAGCAACAAAAAGTGCAACAACACGACTTTTAAGAAGCTGAAATCCATACAAGCATGCTCCCATGTTCCAATCTACAGGGCAAAAAAATTAAAAGAAATTGAATTTGCATGACAGAGATATGAATGTTGTACCAGGATATCAATGTAAACAGCTAAAATAATATTAACTCGCTAATTATTAACATACCGAGAATTATAACTGCAGCAGAAGTGATAGCCCCAAGCCAATGTGCATCCTTCGCTGTCAGACCATATAGAATAGAGTAGACAAGAAGAACAAGAAGGGAGCCAAGGTAAAGAAGTCCAAGATGTGAAGCCCTACAAAGAAAAAGAAAAATCCAAGGACCACAGTACAGTACGAAAGTAAGTTCTTGCATAATATAAAGCTTTTCCCATAAACAGATTGAGGAAGCATAAAAAGATATTAGGATTCGAAACTGTATATGTAATAGGCTTGTAAAGCATTCGCTTAGTCTACTAAGAAAAAAAGTGAGAACTTGAACAATTACACACTATATTCCTATAAAAAAATGGAGAAAAGCCTTAACAGATTGAAAACATATAAGCATACTGGGACGTATGTATAACCTGCTGCCATAGAGAACATATTTTACTACACAAAGATATCTAAAAGAATTATTTAGAATCATGCATATTCATAAGCATTGAAGAAGAAAAAGTATGGAGAGAAATATGGTCACCCAAGTATTAATACAAACACGTCAAATGAACTAGTTTTACCTACTGAATTTCAGACCAGATTAACAATGCAAACACACTAAAAGGGTTTTACCTACTGAACTCCCGAGGATATAACTCGTTTGGATCTGGTGGTTCTGGTAAACAAGAAATGGTACCCATTTCTACACTATCAGAGTATGCAAATTTATATGCCCGCCGAACATACTCATCCACATCCAAGCCATTTCCTACGCAAGGTGATGAAGGGAAAGTCAAAGTACAGTCACTTACAAGTCTAAACCAGAAAATAGAAAAATAAAACCATCAACTGATCTGGTCACAATAGCATTACAGCAAAGATTACCATTGAAGACCATGCGGCAGATAAAGAGCATATTGATTGCTAAGGCAATTGCTGATACACCAAAGAAGAATCCAGAAGGAGAATAGCGCTCAGATGCACTGGAACCAGCCGTAACATACACAGCACAAAGTTCATATGCACAAAGCAGAGCAACAGCCAGCAGAAGTAGAAAAGCGACAGCCCCTATCAGAGCAGAAAGAAGACGAGTATGAGAGACAGGTAAATAAATAAAATAATCACTAATAGATAGAAATCACAGAAGATAATTAAATTACAATCAAGAGCACCTATTTAAACAAAAACTTCGTATCCTTAAACAACAAAGAATCCCAACACCTCTTTCCTTAAAATGTTGATTATGGTAGATACTCCCCCCATTTCCCACCTAGTAAATAGCTTTTGCAAGCTATTTTTATCTTACCTTCTACCAGAAATAAATACTTATAAAGTCACTGCTCAGTTAATGTCAATTTGGTGCAATTGTAACTAAAGTCAACAAGAATGAAGAAATGTTCTCCGAAAACCGCTATTGGAAGAAACCTATTTTAAAAATGAAGAAAAGTAATTTATCTATTAGAAAACATTACTAAAACAGACATCGGCATCTCATTGCAGTTCTTTCCTACTTTGAAGCTTCAATTTTAACCTAGAAAAGTTCAATTTTTTTTTTGATAGAAGTTAGGCCTCATTAAAACCCCCTTCATATCCTTCATGTTATATCAGTAACATGAAGGACATCGGAAGGAGGACAAGATCACCTCAATTTCAGCTTTACTAGAATTAAAGTTGAGTTGAAAGCCCAAGTTTGACCATAAGCTACATCACCCTACTGCACATAAGTAGATGCACCAGAACATAGGCCAAAAAGTCACCGAAAAAGTTTTAGTAGTTTTCTAGTTCAAAATGGAGAACGTCCATTGTGCTTAAATAGAAAATGTCATAGTCAGTGTCAAATGGGAAATGCCTATTTCAAGACAAATCTTCACCCACTAACAAGATCTTGCACTAAACATAAATGAAAAAAACCTTGCTACAATCTGTCGTTAGATACACCTCAAAAATGCATACAGTAAAGCTATTCCATTCTAATTAAAACTAAGCTAAGGTATAAACTTCATGGTTTTAATCATATAGCGTTCCTTCAATACAATTAACACACTCTTTTTCCTACAAGAAATAAGCTTTGGGATGATATCATTGAACTATATACTCATGAGCCTAGAAGAAGTCAATTCAAACAGCATTATGGAAAGGGGATCAAGCTCATAAAATAAAAAGGTTGAAGCAGGGCCACAACGGAAATGGGCAACTGAGACCATAGACCCAGTAAGGCTCACAATCAAGGGTCAAGAGAAAAGGTACCATTGTGAAATACTTCCTCCGACAACTACAAATTGCAGTATAATCTACTTCACTCATCATTACTGCATAGTTTAAGAACTACTCCTTCCCTTAGAGAATAAAATTCTTAAAATATACTTCAGCAGAGCCAATGTCTTTTATCAAAACTGATTTTGTTGCTAATAAATTTTATTTCCACTTGTTAGCTAATGGACTTTTAATATGTTCATCAAAATCTAGACAGGTCAGTGCTTTCTTTTCCTTCAGCAAAGACAGGTGAACACTAGGACATAATGTGATTAATTAAAAATCCATCACTATTGCCATATAAAGAACCACCGCAAGGCTTCAAAATAAATTTCAGTCAATCAAAAATAAAATGAATGGGAAGAAATCTCTCTGACCTTCTAAAAGGGAAAAAAGTATATCACATAGTTCAAGAAGTGAGAAAAATCAAAGGAAAGAGGTCATTAAGGCACATACTTGAGCTCTGCCAACGAGTCCTCCACCACAGCATGATTGAATAGAATGCCAATAATAGAGCAATACCAGCCATTATTACAGCCAGCCCAACAATATCTCGGCCCAATATTATGATTAGCCAGCATCCCCACATGACAAGCACCAAAACAGGAGATAAAACAACCACCCATGCAGATAGAGATAAAAGAGCACATAGCATGCCCAGCTGGGATCCCTGTATGATACTCGGCCATTTTCGTGCAAAAATCCAACTGAAAAGAGAATGAAAATGAATCATTGAAAGTTAAAAAAAGAAAAATGACATTAACTCCCCCCGGCACCAAGGGAAAGGTATGGATCGCAAATGTATTTCATGCGGTAAGAAAAAAAACCCATTCAGGCTATGCAACTCTGCAATTACATTCATTTTTTTCCTATTAGAAAGATTTTAAAGGATTGATTCACCCAAAGAATCAAAGAGAAACAACAAACATACACTGAAACAGTTTCTGGAAGAACCAGTAAAACACCAAACAGAAATATGGTTTACAAGATAACAGTTTCGACATCTTTGCACCCCGAAGATGGTCTTTATCCAAATGGCATATACCGACCAAATTGTAATGGACAAAAAGTTGTATAAACGACTTCTTTTTCAGTAATTGGCAATAATTAGTTATTCAAATTGCCAAAAACAACTAAAAAAGCTTTGGATCATAAGCCACATGTACCAGTCATTCGTGTAAACCATATTAGTAGTGAAGTCAACAGAACAAAGGTTAGTAATAAGCAGCATAGACAAACTGTCAATTTGATTTAAATGAAATTACAGCAAAGATCTCAGTTGTATAGAATCAAAGTCACAATGCATTATTAACAATTCACTTACAAAACTATAAAACAAAAAAAGCAGCTGCATTGATGCGCGGTTATGATGTTAGCAACTATATCAGCAGCAAAATGAAAGGTTGGAAATATTAGATGCAATACCTATAAATCCGCCACGGGCGCCAATTGACGGCCCAGAGAATGGAAAATGAACCTAAACCCAGAACAGTAAAAAGAATCCCAGAAATCAAACACGCCAGCGCAACCCCATCACTTTCCATGGCTTCCTTCTCTCACCTTCAAAGAACAATCAAAACCCATTTTTACATTTCAAACATAACTATAATTATAAACAATTAACGGGAAAAAATCGTAACCCATAAAAAAGAACAGTGAAGAAGATTTTTACCTAATTAAGTGAAGCACACGTAATGAGCAGTGGCATGACGGCAAATTTAGGTGAAAGGGGCGAGTTTAGGCATGGAATTGTGGGTGTTCAGCTAGGGTAATCAAGTCATTTTGTAGCAAGCTGGGATTGAGACTGAAATGGAGAAAATGAAGCTGAAGAATAAGAAAAACGATAAGGTGGATTAGGGTTTGGTTTTTTTAATCTCTGGTTTGGGAAATTTGTGAAAGATTAAAAAGTTGCAGATGAAGACACAAGAAGCAAAGAAAGAAAAGAGTAAAGTTCAAAACCCTACAGCACTCTCTCCTCTGCTCTCCTGTATGTCAACTGTGAACTCTCTCAAGTCAAAAATAAAATTTAAAAAAAAACTATACTTTTAATAACAAAACAAAAAAGCAGCAAGCTTTGTGTAAGAGAGAGAATAAATACTGCAGGAAAAACAACCAAAAATCATAGGCGAAGTAGGCGGTAATAAAAATATGAGGAAAAACAAACATTTATTCCCTAAATTTGACCATTTCTTTCAATTTGGTCTCTAAATTCTTGTACAGTAATAATTTGTTTCCTCTTTATAATTCATTTTCTTAAACTTTAGATAAGATATCAATTTAACTCTTATATTTTAGATAAATCATTGTTTTTACCCTTAAATCCTCTTATCCTCTCTTTTAGATTGCACTATCGATATTGTTCCAGTTATCTTCTTTGGTTGATGATGACACCAAATCAAATCTCTCTCTTCTACTTTTTCTTTTAATATTTTATTTTGTTTCATAGATTTCTTTCCATCATTGACATTGTTTATCAAATAGTAAATTGTTCATTGACATATAATCTCATCAATTTCATTATAGAAGAAAATCATATACTTTTATATTAGCAATCGAATTAAGTTCAAAGTAATTGCTATAATGAAACACCGGCAAAACGAAAGATGCATAATCCACAAAAGAACATTTGTTTCAGTAAATGGACATAATTATTAACGAAACTCTTAACAATAACTTTAGTTCCATCAGTTAAAATGTATTGTCAACAATTCTATTTTCATCTCCATTGATCACATTGTCTTTACATAATCCTTTCGTAGATAATTCTAATTTCCTCAGTATATACCTTCTTCCCCAATCAATGTCACACGCGTTTTTATTTCCAAACGGTGATGTATTATACACACCAGCACTCGCACTCGTCGACCCCCTACTTTCCTCACTAGAGAACACCACCTTTTATTTGACTTTTCTCATGTCAACTTGAATCTCCAACACCTGTGAGAGGATATAGTGGTGATCCGATGCATGTAGATGGGGTACTATTTCCGATATATGTTTGGAGGGGATGGAGGGCTAGAATGCAACAATGTAGGCTCGACGTTGATAGATGCTATCAATGATAAGCAAGACTAAATCTAAATTTAGGTCAGACTTGGATTCGATTAACAATTATTGTTGAACTATATCATTTTAAGAGGTTATATAGAAGAGGTGAAGAAAATATTCTCAAGATAGAGAATTTGTTTATTGATGTGAAGAATTGATTTTTGTTGAGTTTAACTATTTTATCGAATTTGAGATTTTGTCTCAAACTACACTTTTAGGATTCGTGTTAATGTGGAGTTTGTTAGAGTTTGACACAATTTGATCTGGGATATAGGAAACCTAATTTAATTGAAAGTTGGAAGTCAATTATATGTTATGATGATTGAGAGAAACGTAATCTGGGTAAATTTCTTGTTATGTAAGTTTCCTTTGCAATCAAATAACTATCTTTATAAATAGATATTAGGGATTTGGGTTAGATGTCAAATTGTTCATGAAGATTCCTTTTGTATTATTCTAATTTCGATACTAGTGAAAATTTTATTTTTTTGCTTGTGATTTTTTTGAATAGTTTTCCACGTAAAATATTAGTGTTATGTTTTATTATGTAATCATTATATGGTATTTTGTATAAATTTCAAGGGCTAAATTAAAAACTAATCTTATTTGTTAACATGTCATATCATCAATGGAAATGGAGTCAAAGGCTCTGTGAAAAAAAATGTAACAAATCAATAACATAAGTGATCAAAATATTATTTCTCAAAGCATGATGATCAAAATAAAAAGAAATCAAACAAAAATTATCTCTGTTGTAGTTTACCCTATGAAAACTATTTGTGAAGCTCTGATTAGTTCTGCAACCTAGAAATCTGAATTTTGAATAATAATCTTACCTTTGACTTAACTGCTTTATTTCGATTTAGTGATACCTGTTACTTGTATGTTTGTGAGATTCGTCCCTTTAATGTCTGTCGCGTCCCAAATATCTAGATTTGGAGCGTTACCATTACCAAACAAATCAGACAAGAATTGGAGCGATACTATTACCAAACAAATCAGAGACAAGAATTGGAGCGTCACGTTCTGGTTAATTGACTTATTCTTATTCCTCGTAATTACTTTCAATTCTAATATTATGACATAGTTCTTTCGAGTTGTAATAATTAGGGATGTGCATAGGATCAAACTTCATGGACTTTAATTCGATCCGATCTTATTGTGTTAGATTTTTTCAAACAAACAATAGATTGAAATTCGGGTTCGATCGGATTTTTTAGATTATAAGTTTGGATCGAGTTTAGATTTAGAGTGAAAATATCATCTCTATATTTTTCTTAAGTAGATCCTTACTTCATCAAATAAAAAATATATATATATATAGTTATATAGTTATATTAGGTCAAATTGGATATATATTTTATCTAAAAAAATAAGTCAAATTTCGGATATTGGCTTCCAGATGTGATGATTCCCTAGTCCTTATTGAAAGTGATTGCAATATTATACGGGAACAAACATAAGTTTTTATGTTAAATGAACGAATTTATAAAATTTGAAATACAAAATATATTATCAATAAAATATATACAATTTATATATAAATTTAAAAAAAAAAATTAGAAGAATATTCACTGCATCGACTTCTTTCATTTTTGATAATGGGTAATGGTCTAAGTTGAGGCCCTTGATCTGCTTTATTTGGGCCTTTAATAACAATATTGGCTTTAGTATCGTAGTTGTATGAGCCGAAATCTCGACCAATGCTCCTTCTACAAAACACTGGGTTCGGCTTTAGAATTATTGTTTAAGGTCACGATTATGTACCTAACCTCGATTATTATTTTATTTTGCATGTGCACATTGCTGTGATTTCATTATGGGCTATTTGGAGTTGTTGGGTTCACTGACTCCTCCCTCACGATGGAACTGTTTCCCGCGTTAAACATCTATGGATCAATGCATCGTTATCTGTTTATATCATATTCGTATATAATTTATAAGATAACTTGATTTGATTTTATAGGATAGTAGATTCTCTCACATGGACCGATCTTCATCTTAGGGCTATGCTCTACGTTTCCATACTTGTCCTTTTATAGGATAAATTATATAAATGGTCACTAAACTTTCCAGGCACTTGAATTTAGGTCCCCTAACTTTTTAAAACTTACAAAACATTCCTCAATTTCATTCTAAACCCCAAATTCCAAAGTAATTCAATTTCATTCTAAACCCTAAATTCCAAAATATTAAATTACATTCTAAACCCAATTCTAAAATATTTCAATTTAAGGAGAATATACTAGATTATCTTTAGAACGTGATACGTTTTGATTTTTTTACTTATGTGAAGAAAAAAAATACACTCCCTCCTCGTAAATGTAATTTAGTGACCTTCAATAATTTAAATATACAAAATGATTATGGAAGAAATTGAATAAAAAACACAATCTCTCAATGAAAAAATTAAGAATCAAAATCCCCAATTGTCATCCTTATAATTTTTATTTATTTCAATTATAATTTAGTTTTTTAATAGTTTGATGTGATTATAAGATAGTATTTATTCAAATTTTTTAATTTTTTAATAATTTAGATATACCCTACAAACACAATTGTTTTAATTTAAACCTTTTAAAGTAAATAACATTTTTTTACCTATGAAACCACTTAACGAGTTATAATATAATTTTGTTAACGTGACCATGAAATAGAAGTTGACGTACCTTACGAAAACATAGAAAAACCCCATCTCTTTTGAGTTGATTATTATCATCAACTTAGGGTATTATATTAAATTATTGATTTTTTTATTTTATTTTTAAGTAGTCAACTTCAGTGTTTATTTTTTTATTGTGTTTTTTTTATGATTTTATTAAATAATTTGTCTACAAAAAATATTCGATGTAATAAGTAAATAAATATTTAATTATCATGGTAATATTATATTTTAATTATAATAGAAATAATATAAAATAAAATATTTATACATCATTACTATAATTACATAACTCATATATAAAATTTTGACTCTACTATTTATGTAGTCTTAATATTTATATGAAAGATATAAAATGTATTAACACGTATGATTAGATATAAAAACATACACAAATAATTAGAAATATATTTACTTTTAAATAAATGAATTATTATCATATATTCTTACTATTGATAAATTTTCATGTCTTTAATTAATATTAAAAATTATCATATGTTTTTAAATATAAAAAGTAAATTAATTAATAATTTAGAAACATTGGCGTCGTTTATAAAAAAAGACAGAAATTGAAGTATTTTAGAATTTGGGTTTTAGAATGTAATTGAATTATTTTAGAATTTAGGGTTTAGAATAAAATTGAATTAATTTGGAATTTGTTGTTTAGAATGAAATTGAGGATTGTTTTGTAAGTTTTAAAAGTTGAGGGACCTAAATTCAAGTACCTAAAAAGTTTAGTGACCATTTATATAATTTACCCTAATTTTCATAGGTGCGAACCATATTGCAAACTGAATAAATGTTGGGGGACTGTATTGTAAGTTTTAAAAGTTGAGAGACCTAAATGTAAGCTTCAGAAATGTTCAGTGACCAATTACTATACTTTACCCTTATTTTTTTATAAATAATGAATCCGAAATCTTTTAAGGACCGTATCCAATGTTGCAGATCATACTCTGTAGGTGCCAAATAGCCTATAAGAAAGCTACAAAAGAAATGCGTGATTGATGCAAACATGATAGAGGGCATGCAATTGACACGTGTTATTTGATAGTATTTTAAAATAATATCTGCTCTCATTCCTGTCTGTCTCGTAAATGGCATGCAAGCATGTGTTGCCATTAATCACTCAAATCGTCCTTTTCCTCTTGCGGTAACTTCAACAGGTTGAATTTTAATTTTATTTATTTACTAATTAATTCAGATTCTTTGAATGTAATTTTTTTTATTTTAAATATATTCTTTACGTTTTAAAATAGAGAAAATCGTTTCAGTGACAAAAAATGTCTTATAATATATGATTTTAACCAACTTTTTTTGTAAACAAAATCGCAATGCGAAATAAAA